CCCCAAAACCCCAAAACCCCAAAACCCCAAAAAGTAAAAATAAATATTCTAAAAAGTCTTAAGAACTCAAACTCAAATTGTGCTAACCCACTCCATCAAGTTTGCTCCTAAATCAGCAGATTTTCTACAAAATGTTGATCTCTAAAATGACCCAAGCATTCACTAAAATTGGAGCTCTCTGTAGCATTGTAAGTTATACAGGGCTTACTCCTAAATCTCATATTTTTCTCACAGAGAGTAACAAATCCATCAAAGCTTTCTTTTTGCATTTCCAGGATGAGCTTTTCATTGCTTCCAAGAAGAAAAAGTACATGGTCAACATGAGTAACCTGGACTACGATGTCATGAAGAAGTACACAGAGGAGCTATATGCGGAGTATGTCATCAACTTGGCTGTCTCTAAATCGCATTTCCTCCCTGGTGTTTCAAGATTTCTCGGAGAGGTCCAACCCCTCAGGATTGTAAGATTCCATGAATTATCTGTGAAAGAAAATCTTTACGATTGCTTTATACTCCTCGCTGCTTGGCATAATCTCCGCCCAGTGAAAGAGATGAGAAGAATCCTGAGAGTAGTAAAGAAAGAGCATTTCTCACAGAATGGCTTCATCAGGCTTAAAAGTGACCAAATTGATGAAAATAATTTTGATGACTGGGAAACTTTGAGGGATGATGGCGATGATGTACCCCATTGGAAGTTAAAAATAGATCTATCCTCACGTATGAACCAGAATATTCGAGGGCTTAAATGCTCAACCAAGTTTTTATGCATCTCTACTGAGGAATTTCATCCAGCTTATGAATTCTTGAAGATCGATAATGACAGCCTATTTAGAGGGTTGAGAGGAATCCATTTCATCCTTCCTGATGATGCCAGTGCCACAAATATCATTGAGGTTGATAGATGGTTCAAAAAATTTAGAATGTCAAATACAAGGAAGATTTCAAATGTAACTTGATACAGATCGTTTAAAAAGGCTATTCATCATTCGAAATGGTGCACTCACTTATCGATGAGTTCCCTAAGCGATATTATGATTTGTAATGGAGTCCTGAATTACACCTACAAAAGTGTGATATATAGAATTGAAGCCGAGCAGTTATGATTTCAAATCAACGCCTCTGACATAGATCCTATCCTTCAAGAGGCAGGATATATACCTTGAAGTCCGGGGATCATAAAGCTGGTGTCGATTTCAAATTGGAAAAAGTATCGACTGAGAAACCCAACCCGTCACCTGAGAAATATGTTTAAAGATGAAGATGACATTATTCTGTTTAAAAACCGACGCCTGGAGGCCACTCTGGAATGATGCGATCTGTTTTGTGCACCTGTTATTAATGCTTATCAGTACCTACAAGTCAAAAATTTAAAGCGGATCAAGAATTCGGGGGATATATCACTGTTTAACCACTTTGAAGTCAAAGAATCTTTGATGGGCACAAGCATTATTTTGGAAATCACAGATCCCAATTTAGCATTTAATCTAGATGAGTTTCGCAGATTAAGATTCAACAATATCAGAGATTTTGAATGGAGTGTTAATATCACTAGTTTCGTGAACAATACTGACGAGTATGTCAATGCATGAAAAATCCTGTTTGAAAAGTCCCCAATACTTAGAAAGGTGTCCTTTAGCATTATAGTCGAATGAGGAGCGTCTATTTTATACTGGTTGACCAGAAAGTCCTTTAAAGATGGGAGCTTAGAGAGGATAAAAAGCTGCCATACCTCTTCACAGCTTCAGTTGATTTTAAGAAACTATCATTGCAAATGGGAAATGCTGCCTGATTTCATATGAAGATAACTGCTGACTGATTATTCAGAAATTTCTTGAAATTCATGATTAGGCTGATATCCACCAGGCTCCTGAGGTAACTTAGCTATGATAATTGAAATCCTTCAATAAAATCTTTAAATTTTGGGGTTTTGGGGTTTTGGGGTTTTGGGG